GCAGCCCACTGTCGTGCACTGGCCACAAAGGCCCCGTCCTCCACAGAGAGGTAGCGTGTGGAGACTGTCTGAGAGCGCAGGCGGTTGAAGAGGGAGACCTTTGAGCCGGAGGATATGCACACTGTGAGGGTGAGGGTGAGGGTTAGGGTGAGGGTGAGGGTTAGGGTGAGGGGACAGGGTTAGGATTAGGGGTTAGGGTGAGGGTGAGGGTGAGGGTTAGGGTGAAGGTGAGGGTGAGGGTTAGGATTAGGGTGAGGGTGAGGGTAAGGGTTAGGATTAGGGTGAGGGAGGGGGTGAGGGTTAAGGTTAGTTGGTGCTATCAGTGCCCTGGCCTGGCTTGGTCCCTTGGATGTTCCAGACAGTTTCCAATCCTCTGGCCCTGTGCCGGCCTGGCTGATGTGCCTATGGGCCTAGACACATCGGGCAATGTGAACTGGGCATTCCTAGTTCACAGCTATTTTTCTAGGGCCTGCTGCAGTCCTGGTTTGGAATCTTTGCCTGCTCCTTTTGCTGCCTGGACATCGTTCAGTTCATAAACAAAAGTAAAACTTATTTATTATTTATTTTTTTTTTGGGACAGCATCTCACTCTGTCACCCAGTTTGGACTGCCGTGGTGCTATCACAGCTCACTGCAGCCTCGACCTCTTGGGCTCAAGTGATCTTCTGATCTCAGCCTCCCGAGTAGCTGGGACTGCAGGTGCAGGCCACCATGCCCAGCTAACTTCTTTTTTTGGTAGAGACAAGGTTTGGCCATGTTGCCCTGGATATCCTTGAACTCCTGAGCTCAAGTGATCTGCCCACCTCGGTCTCCTAAATTGTTGGGATTACCGGCATGAGCCACTGTGCCCCGCCTATGTCACTTTTAGTCTGTCCCTAGTTCAACCCCCCTGCCTAGTTCAAACTCTGTCTAGTTCAACTTTTGTCTGTTCTGGGACCCCAACTCCCAACCTAGAATTTGGTATCTGTCCCTTTCCTCTCTGCTTTTCATCCTCCAACTCTTCTCATCCCCAGGCCTGGGCCGCACCCTCTCATCCAGACTCCTTCCCTTCTCAGCTCCCACTCTACCTTTTCCACTCTGACCCCACCCCTATAGTGCAGCCTACCCCCACCTGGGGTAGCTGCTCTGGGCTTGGATGCACCTCCCGCATCAGGCCCCGCCCTGCTCACGATCGGTGTTTTTGAGCGACTGCTTCTTCTGCGAGGGCTTCGAGATGACCTTGATGAGGCGGCTGTGGAAGGTTCCCAGTTCCCGGCCCCCGCGCAGCACCAGCCGCAGCACCAGCCGGAAGTGCTTCCTCTTGTCTGCATCTGAGATGTACAGGGTCTTGGCGCAGCCGAATTCCTAGGGGGCTCGCGGGGACAGGGCCGTCTCATCCCAGCCCTCCCTTGTCGGATGAACCAACCTCTCCCAGATATCGGACGTCCGCCCCGTCGGAGGTGACCAGAAGCTCCACCATCCAGACTCTCAGGCTCTGCCTTAAGGCAGGACCCTGGCCTCCCGGTCTCCCCACCTATCTCTTGGCTTTCGGAAGGGAGTGATAAAGGAGACCTCCTTTCCAGGAGAGGCAGGGATGGGAGCAGGAATCGGACCCCTTCCCGTGCGCTCTCACCCTGGAGTCCGCCTGCTGCTCGAAATTCAGCTTCTGCGTCTCAGCGGCGCTGCCGGACGCGCTGTCCAGTCCCATGTAACCGCAGACCGTGGGCCCCGTCTCCCCGGCCTGGTGAGCTGGAAAGGGACGCGAACTGGCTCTGGAAGGACTCGGGAGGACGCAGGTGCCAGGCAAGCTTAGCGCTCGCCGCCAGAGGGCGCGGGGAAACTGCGCCTGCGAACCGCCCCTCTCTCGGGCCCAACCTCGTGCTTCTCCCTACAGAGCAGGCGGCCGGCAGCCCTTGAGTCCGCCCTCACCTTGGTCCTGCCCTGGCTTCACCCTCCATCCGGGCCCTGAGAGGTAGACACAGGGCGGGGGGCAGAAGAACCTGCGGAGATAAGTGAGTGATGGATTCGTGCATCCATCTCCACTCGGCTGTCCTGTAAGCACCGCAAAGTAGTAGCATAAACCCAGCAGAACCTTCGTTTCCTCCTCCCGCTCCCACCCCCCTCCCCACGCTTTTTCATGACTGTAAACCCCATTCATATCCAAACCCTTATTGTTTTTACATCCCTCATTCAACTCATCAGAAAGTCTTATCCACTCCACCTTCAAAATATAATACATTCAGAATCCACTGGCTTCTTACCACCTCACCCTTCATCCCAGCCGCCATTATTTTTTGCCTGGACCACAACATCAACCTTCAAACTGGTTTATTTCCAGAAAGTTCTGTTTCTATCTCCTTCCCATTTCACACAGCAGCCACAGTGCTCCCTCCTTCTCCCCTCCCCTCCCCTCCCTCCCTCTCTCTCTCTCTCTCTCTCTATTTCTCTGTTTCTCTCTTTCTCTCTTTCTTTCTTTTTCTTTTTTTACTTTTTGAGACAGGGTCTTGCTCTATTGCCCAGGCTGGAATGCAGTAGCTTGATCTCGGCTGTCTCGGCTCACTGCAACCTCTGCCTCCCCAACTGATCCTCCCACCTCAGCCTCCTGAGTAGCTGAGACTACAGACACGAGCCACCACACCCATCTAATTTTTGTATTTTTTGTACAGACATGGTTTTGTCATGTTGTCCATGCAGATCTGGAACTTCTGGGCTCGAGCAATCTGCCCACCTGGGCCTGCCAAAGTGCTGGGATTACAGGCATGAACCACCAGGCTGGCCAGAATGTTTTGTTAGAAACGTCAGTCAAATCATGTTAACTCCTTAAAATCCTCCACTGGTTAAAAATTAAAAGTCCTCCTGCGATCTGACCTCTGCTTCCCTCTCCAACTTGTTTCCTACAACTCCTCTCTCTGATTTCAGCCACTGTGACTTCTTTTGTACCTCAAACAGGCCTAGTTGGTACAGCCTCAAGGTCTTCCCATTTTCTGTTGCCTTTTTTTTTTTTTTTTTTGAGACTGAGTCTTGCTCTGTTGCCAGGCTGGAGTGAAGTGGCATGATCTCGGCTCACTGCAACCTCTGCCTCCTGGGTTCAACCAATTATCCTGCCTCAGCCTCCTGAGTAGCTGGGATTACAGGCTCTCACCACCACGCCCAGCTAATTTTGTATTTTTGGTAGAGAGGGGGTTTCACCATATTGGCCAGGCTGGTCTCGAATTCCTGACCTCAGGTCATCTGCCCACCTTGGCCTCCCAAATTGCTGGGATTACATGTGTGAGCCATTGCGCCCAGCCCTTCTGTTCCTTCTAATTGTAGCATGCTTTCCCCAGATTTTCTCCTGTCTGGCTCCATTTTAACATTCAGGTTTCAGTTCCAATGTTACCTCCCAAAAGGTCTCTTGACCTCCTTGACCTTTCTAGCTAATGTCTCCCCTGCCTCCAGTTTCTGTCAAATGGCCTTGTCCAGTTTTCCTTCTAGTGCACATCATAATCTGCAAGTGTCTTGTTTACTGATTTGTGGGGAGTTTACTGTCTGTCTCTTCCACACTTGAGTGAGAGTGTGGGCTAAGGAGCAGGGGCTGTTTCTGTCTTGTTCAGCTGTATGCCCAGTGCCCAGCAGTACCCACAGTACCTGGTGCATACATGATAAACACTCAGTAAGTAGTTGTTGAATGAATCAATAAGTGAATAAATGGGAGAATGAGTGAATGAATGGAGACAGGAGATTCACAGGAAATCTCCTGCTATAGAACTATAGACCAAAGTGGGGGCTAATGGTGGCTGAGGGTCAAGGCCCTGGTCGACAATAGCTGAGATTTCAGCCCTGAGGCCTCTTCTGGGTCTAAAAGAGGCCCAATGGGTGGATGGAGGGGTGCATAGGGCTGACAGTTGCAGAGACTTGGGAGGGGCTGCCGAGGCACCTACCGCTTCTCATTTCCGTACGATTTCTGGGCCACCTTGGCATGCACGATCCGCACAGTCTGTTCACACTGTTGCTGCAGGCACCTGCGCACGCCTCCCCTCAGAATGGTGGTGTGCTCTGGGGATGACCTGGGAGTGGAGCAGGCAGGTCGACCGGCCACAGGAAGAAGGGTCAAGGTGGCACAGAGTCCAAGTACTCAGGTCGAGTAAAATGAAGTGGGCAGGGGGTTAGAGTAAGTGGGGGGGGCGGGGCTGCTGTATATTCTGCCCCCGTGGGATCAGGAAGAGGAAGCATTAGGTAAGGAGGAGACTTGGCTGAAGATTGCAGGCTAAATATTTAGGCTGCGAGGTGCTCAATGAGGCCTGCATGGAGCCCACGGGACCACCCAGGTTCCACTCTGCAGGTCTGGCACCATGCCCATTGGAGCCCAGGGCCATAGGGACACGTGGCTGTGACACAAAGGCCACACTTATACAGGCCTTGGGATGGAGAAGAGTATTTTAGGGCTGATGGAATTAGTAGGGATGAAGCTTCCCCATCCTAGGCAGCAGGGAGGGGAAGGGGGAGCCTTTGTTGGGCTCCTGGCCTGGAGCGCTCTCTAGCCTCCTGCCTACAAACAGAAAAGGGCCCAAAACCTTGTCCCCAGGATGGGGGGTGGCCTGGGGGAATCTGAGCCTTTCTGAGGCCAAAGTCATATTCTTCCTTTTCTCCCATGAGAAGTGACCTGTTGCTGTGTTGGCTTTCCTTCCCTTGATTACAGAAGTCAAGGCAGATGACATTGGTTCTGCAGTTAGCCAGGTTAGAGCCTAGAGGCCTGGTGGCTTCTCAGTCTGGGGTTCTTGAGCGGTGTGGGTGGGTGGGTTCAAGCAATTGCAGGGAGTAAGTAGAGGAGGGGAGGTGGGAGACATTTGGGGGGTTAGCAGGTTGAGGCCAGGAGAGCCATGAAAACTGAGGCTGTCCTTCTGAGCCCTTTATCGTCTTGGCAGGACCGGAGTCTCTCCTCACTCCTGGAGGGGACAGCGTAGGACCGCACCCTCGAAAGCCAGGCCAGACACGCAGCAGCCACAGCCAGAACCGCTCCACCCCTTGGGGCTCTCCTTAGGGAAGTGCCTTCTAAGCTTCCAATAAATTCCGGCTGCGGAGTGTGGCTGCCCCAGTCTCCCCAGTCTCCTGCTGTAGCCGAATTCCAGCCTGGCCCGCAGCTAGCCCTGTCTGCAGCTCCAAGGGTGGTAGGAGCAGGGGGTGCTGGGTTCGCCCCGCCTCAGGAGGAAGGGGGGGATGCCTCCCTGCCAGTGGGAGGGGTTGCAGCCTGCGTTTCCCCTCCCCACCCACCAGCCCTGGGTTAAATGCGGCCGCCGCCTCTGCGTGCTCCAGCTGCCTGGCAGTCCTCACCTAGGGCACGCTGCCACATCGTTACCTGGTCCAAGTGCCCGGGAGGCTCCGCCTGTCGGCTTCGCTCTGCAGTTGCATCTCTGATCTGTCCGGCAGGCTCAGGTGAGTCAAAGGGTTGGGAGGCATTGAGGGGTCTGCAGGGGAGTAGGCATCAAGCCAGATCAGGCAACTGTATTTTAGCAGAGGCACCGCCTATGGTGCCCTGTCTGACCTGCAGTGCCCTTCCCCACTTCTGCAGGGTCCTTTCCAAATCGAGCCCCCACTAGCAAAGCCATCAAAATAGGGTCATCCCTTTTCTACTCTCGTCCCTCCAGGTGCCCCCTGAAATGTCCCTAAGGGACATTTGAGAAATTATTTACAGGCCTCTCCTCCCTTGCTGCTCCACTCCCTCAGCCCCACCTCAAGGCATCTCTGAATCTTTCTTTTTAATGCAAGGATTAACTCCTCAGAGGAATCCCGAGTTCTAGTGTCAATCCTGCCAGACATCGCTGTGTGCCCTTCAGCAACACACTACCCTCTCTGGACCTAGTTCCTTTCTTTGTAGAATGAGGAGTTTGGAAAGGTGATGAACTTCGAGGCAGTCGCTGTTGTGACTTTCTAGGATTCCTGGGGTGGAGGCAGGGTGCCAGGTGAGAAGTTGGCTCAGACCAGGAATGGGATGAGGGGAACCTTAACCAAGATTTGGGGGCCCAGAGGCATCTCCGGGTGGGAAAGTATGGGAGGTGGCAGAGGCCCCTTGTGCCTTAGCCCTCATGCTGCCCAGGGATGCTGGCCTCGCCTGTGGCCCAAACCAGAGAAGGGTTCCCCGCCCTCCCACTTCCACCAGTGCTGCCACATCTTGCTTGGTCACCCTTCCACGACCGGCCCTGCCAGAGGGATTTCTGTTCTTCTACCAGGCCTGGGAGGGGAAAGGGGAGAAGAATCCAGGATGAGAAGGTCGCCTGGAGTGAGAAGCAGGCCCTGGCCTTGCTCAGAATAGGCGCATTCACGGAATTGGGGGGCGGGGGCGGGGCTGCGGTTGGGTTAGGGGCGGCTGGCTCTCTCTGCCAGGAAACAGCAACAGAAAAATGGCTAACGCAGCTTCAGCATGGGGCGCGGGGGTGGGGTAGGAACTGGAAGGAAAAGAGGTTTAGTGACTTCTAGGCGCCAGGGGGCCTCAAGAGGGAGAAGGGGAACCAGGAGCCCTAGGTTCTAATCCTGCTTTTGCAGCTCCGCGGGCTGCCTTCTTGGGGCTTAGTTTTCCTATTTGTACAGTGGGGCGGGGTGGGGGGCGTCCTTCGTAGTTCTCACGGGGCGTCTCCGGGCCACGGGAGGGTGAGCGCTCACCTGCTGCCCCTGAAGTGTCCATGGCGACTCTACGGGGCCCCAGCTGCTCACTCGTCACCCCCGGACGAGTCCAGTGCTGCTGTGGCTGGAACCCTGCACACCCCTGCTCCCTAGCTCCTGCGCGGGATATATCCTGTCCAGGCCTTATCTCCAAGGCCCCAGGCCCCAGCCCCCTGTTTGCTCGGGGTTGGCGCACCTGCTGGGCAGATGTGGGCTTCCCACGCCCCCTGCCGTCTCGGGCGTCCCCTGGCGGTCGCTCCTGAGAGCAGGCGGGAAACAGGCGCCAAGCCGCGCGTTCTTGTGCGCGGTGGGTTTTGGTCCACTCGCTGCCGCGCCACCGCGCTCAACCTCCGCAACAGGGCGCAGCCCCTCCCCGCCGCCTGCGATTGGGCAGTACGTGTCTGTGTTTGTGTGTATGGAGGAGTCTGGCGGGTGGGGGTGTTGGTGAGTTGCAAAGACAGCCACACAGAACCTTGTGTGCGTAGGGGAGTGGGCCGAGGTGGAGAAGGGCTTCTGTCTGCAGAGATTCGCCTGGCAGGAGGAGAGGCACCAAACGCCCAGAATGGCTCACAGAAACCTGCAGGCGTGGGATTCTGTCCTGTCGCAGCCATTTTTTGGCCGAATGACTTTAGGTACCAGCGCTTAACTTTTTTGAGCCTCAATTTCCTTGTCTGTATGATAGGGACAATCACAGCCTTACTCTTACAATTGCAGAGAGGATAAAATGCCACAATGCGTAACGAGCATTTAACACTGTGCCTGACATTTAAGAAAGACCTGTTTTTTTTGTTGTTGTTGAATTTTTTTGTATTTGTATCTATGTATCTATTCTTATTTAGTATTCTGCAGTTCCACAAATCATCTCTCGTGGGCTGAGCGCGGTGGCTCATGTCTGTAATCCCAGCGCTTTGGGAGGCCGAGGTGGGAGGATCACCTGAGGTCAGGAGTTGGAGACCAGCCTGGCCAACATGGCAAAACCCCCTCTCTCTACTAAAAATACAAAAAATTAGCCAGGTGTGGTGGCAGGAGCCTGTAATCCCAGCTACTCGGGAGGCTGAGGCAGGAGAATCGCTTGAACCTGGGAGGCAGAGGTTGCAGTGAGCTATGATTGCACCACTGCACTATAGCTGGGGAAACAGAGAAGACCCCATCTCAAAAAAAAAAAAAAAATCAATGTAATTTCTATCAATTACATTGATATATGCAATTGATATATGCAGTATGACAGCTACATAGTATAAGATGTTAATAGTGTTTCCATGACACATGACTTCTACCAAGAAATGAGTAAAGTTGGGTTAAACAAAGTTAAATAGG